TGGGAACAGGGAACTGTCCTGCACTGCTATTGTTGCTACATGTATCGAGCCTTGATTGCTCCTAGTTATATACAGGATCTGTCTTGCTTCCCACCTACATCTGCTTGAGCAATGCCTCAAGTACGTCCTTATTAGGAACATTTCAAAACCCTTTTAGTTAAGTCTTTCACTAAGGTTCTTTTGCATATATTTCAAGTGAATGTTGGATCTCAGACTAACCATAGTAATAATACACATTTCTGTGAGTGCTGACTTGTCTTTGCAATATTTCTTCTCTGATTTATTTAATTGTCTTGTATTTATATGTTAAAATCAAAAATGTCAAAATCAATGAAATAAATTTGCAGTTAAGATCTTTAAGTTTGGTAATTTTCACAAAGAAAAAACATCTGCAGTCTCTTTCCCTGGCGGCCTGGCACGGAAGTGGTAGGACATGCTGATTAAGACAAACACAATTGGCTGGGCATGGTGGCTCACGCCTGTAATCCCAGCACTTTGGGAGGCTGAGGCAGGTGGATTGCTTGAGCACAGGAGTTTGAGACCAGCCTGGGCAGCACAGGGAGACCCCTGTCTCTACGAAAAATTAAAAATTAGTTAGGCACAGTGTTGTGTGCCTGTACTCCTAGCTACTCAGGAGACTGAGGATGGAGGATTGCCTGAGCCTGGAAGTTTGGGGCTGCAGTGAACCACGATTGTGCCATTGCACTCCAGCTTAGGCGGCAGAGCGAGACACCATCTCTTAAGAAAACAAACATAACAGTAACATCTTTTGGAAAACAGCCGGTACCCTGTGACTGTTAAATTAGAGCAAGGGTTGTTCTGTCTCAGGAGATCAGTTTCTGAGGTCTCCTTTCCATTTTCCCATTACCCTTTCAAGATTATCTCTTCAACACATTGACTTTGGCCTGTAGGCAATGTACAAGACCCAATTCAGATCTCATCCAAGTATCTGCTTCTTCAATGTCAAACAGGACTACTGAAAAGTGAGAACAGGATTTGGGATTTCTGCATTGCTGGTTAGCATGTGGGATCCCCAAATACGGGAAGCTGACCTCACCCTTGCCAGGGTCTCTGAGCAATCTCTTCTTCCAAGGTCCTCAGCTCCCACAAAGATGCCGAGTACTAAATTCATAAGGAAGATGTGAGATCTTCTAGATTGAGGGAGGGGTGAGACCTCAGAAATCAATCCCCCAAAACAGATTATATAATCAAAATATACATAAAAGGATGCACAATGTCCAGTATCCTTTAGGTCCCACCCCCTTATTTTTCCTATTGTGTCTCTGCTGTGGTCCTTAAGCTGAATTCTCTCATCTATTTTTCTTACTTTACACAGACATACGGCAGGACAGAGAGTATTTCTGAGAAGCATCCTCCTTTGGGTTTAAGATTGATCCCACGATCTGAGATGCTATTGTAAGGAAACAGAGGTGGTGCCAATATTAGGAGGCAAGGAGTGTCAGGGCAGAAGCCAGTATTTAAAGAAGTATTTCCTCAAAATATTGGAGTAGTTTTGGTTTGTTTGTTTGTTTGTTTGTTTGTTTTCCTCAAAACACACTGCAGCCATTAACCCCACAAAGGAAGTCTGCTGACTTCAGTGAGCAGCATCATGATCGTTCTTACAGAAAATGGTGAAGCAAGTCAGGCAAGCACCTGTAGTCCCAGCTACTTGGGAGGCCGAGGCAGGAGGATCGCTTGAGCCAGGGAGTTTGAGTCCATCCTGGACAACATAGACCTCGTGTCTTTAAAACAAACAAACAAAAAACGGTGAAACAGCTTAACTTGGGATACTGGGTGTGTCTAACGAGGTCAGCTAGGAGTCAGTCAGTTTGTTGAAGGCCATTTAGACGAAGATCTAATTTACTGCATAACCAATTCACAGAGTGGACTTGTTTGGTGTCATTTTGTCTCCATAAGAGCATTTTAAGGACTTTAGTTTTTCTTTGTCTCTGCTCCTTGCTGTTCTAGTTGGAGTCCAAAGGACAGGAAAAAGTTAAGACTGGGTAGGCATAAGAAGAACATAATCTTCAATTTGAAGAATTCTTATCAGTATATACTTTTTTTTTTTTTTTTTTTTTTGAGACAGAGTCTTGCTTTGTCACCCAGGCTGGAGTGCAATGGTACAATCTTGGCTCACTGCACCCTCCACTTCCTGGGTTCAAGCGATTCTCCTGCCTCAGCCTCTCGAGTGGCTGGAATTACAGGTGCCTGCCACCATGCCCGGCTAATTTTTGTATTTTTTGTAGAGATAGGGTTTCACCATATTGGCCAGGCTGGTCTTGAACTCCTGGCCTCAAGTGATCCACCAGCCTCAGCCTCCAAAAGTGCTGGGATTACAGGTGTGAGCCTCCGCGCCTGGACAGTATATACTTTTTTCTTTTCATGTTAATCTCCAGGTACAGCATCAAGAAGTCAGAGCAGGCAAAAATGGAATATATGTTCTTTTAGAATATATTCTTTTAAATATATTCCTCACTGTAAAGAAATCTTATGTTCCCTGGTGTTTCCTCTCTTTATCTCTCAGTCTCAAACAAGCTACAGGAAGCTGGAGCAGAGACAAATTCCACATTCTTTAAAATGTAATGAAAAAATGATTTCCAGTCAACTAAATTATCATATAAATAACTAAATTTGGTGAATTGGTCATTTTCAACAAACTCATTCAGATTTGACCCTTTGGGTCAAAGATGGAGTGATTTTCTTTAGAGCCAAAGACCTGAACCCTACAAGAGAAATATTTATTGGTTTCCACCTTGGATGTTAACACGGGGCTCTCTAGAAACTACCTGGGCTGAAGCCTCTGTGGCAGGATGATGGCAGATCCTCTGGTTAGGGTCAGAAAAATCATACATGGTGCTACCCCAGGGTCCAGTTCTGGGTTTTCATCTTCATGGAGATCACGAATCAGCTTCAGAAACAATAACATTCCCTATCATTATACTATATCTGATTCTTGACAAATATTTGAGAAACGACTTGCAGACAAATTTCTATTGGGTGATAACCAGAGAATGGCTTCATGGATATGGGGACCAAGATATGGAGGTTTTGTACCTCAGGGATATGAGGATACTAAAACATGAGACTGATTTATTATATAGCACAGCTTACTGGTCCAAAATGAATCACTAAAATTTGCTTCGAAATTTAAAAGCTAAAACGGAGTAGCCTTCCTTCTTGGTTTTATCCCAGAATTTTGAGCTTATTGAAGAACATAGCTTAGATGTTGCTATGCAATCGTATAGACCAAAGCCTAAGCATGTAGACTGCCTATACACCAAAAGGGGTGCATGTGTATATAGCAGAATTAGCAAAGAATGAAGTCAAGAAACTGAAAATATTTCTATACTAGGTGGAAATGCCAGATAAGGAGCAAAGATCAGTTATTTCCTGTATGGCTGCAAAATCAACTCCTAAAGAAGGACCCAATGGAAACAAAAGCCACAATGAAAAGAAGCAATGATCCCAGCTTTTAGATACAGATAAATACATGAAAATTCTAGCAAGAGTACATATTCAGATTCCAAAACATTTAGTGATGATAACAATGTCTAGTTTTATTCACCCCTAGACCACAGCAAATTCTTCATGGAGGCACATCACATGGATCGCTGCATAATTCAAGAGCCAATATTAAGAAAACAAAGTATTATATGAAGTAATATGTGAGCTGATGAGGGGTTTGGCGCCTTAGTTGAGTGACAGAGTAAAGCCATAGATTTATGTTCTGGAATATCTAACATAAACTTGGTCAAGGACCAAACATAAGGGAATGCAGCTAAGCAGGACTGATTTCATTTACTCATGCGAGCAACATTAATTGAGCTCCAACTATACGCTCAACACTGTACCAGGCATGGTAGGAGATACCAAAAGACTGTTTCAATGAATAACGTACATTCCAATTAGGAAAATATGCCTCATCCACACGTGAAAACACAAATAACAACAGGAAGCAATACATTGTGGCCAAGTGACAACGAAATTAGTTATGATTTATTAAGTATTTTTCTACTAGCCAGGCTTGTGCTAAATGCTTTATATTCATCCTCTTGATCTTAAGTCATCCTGTGAGGTAGGTGCTATGATTATCCCCATTTTACAGATGAGAACACTTAAGTTCAAACGTAAAACGGGATGCAAAAGGTCATAACACTTGTAAATGGCAGAACTGACATTTGAACTCAAATTGAACTGACTCTAAGTCTTAAGCTCTTACTAAACAAATGGCTATAGAAATTCAGAAAATGGGGAAGGCTAACAGACGAGCTGAGCTGGCCGTTAAGGGAAAGATAGGCTTCAGTTAGTCAAGGAGGAGGAGGAAGAGCCGAAGGGGTCAAGCATAGAGTAAACGCATGGAGACTGGCAAAGAGCTTGCGGAAACAATGATTACATTAGTCTAGCTGTCCAGTGAATTCCTATGTGGGCCAGATATTGGTGGACAATGAATACCAGGTCGAAGATTGTGAACTGTGGGTTATCAGCAGCCACGAAACATTATAACGAATGCCAAGTTTCAAGCTGTAGACCTGTGGGAGATGAACTGCGAACCTGCCCGGGAAAGCGGCGCCCAGGTGGCTAGGGGCGGGGTCACAGGCGCCAGAGGTGTCACTGGGGCACCTCTCCGGGCCTTCCCCCTTTTTCTTCCGGGCTGGGTCTCGCTACTCCAGTTCCGCTAGGCGGCGGAGACGGGGCCAGGGGCGGGACTACAATCTTGACCCTCAGAGGGGTGCCCAGGAGGCCGCGGTGGGCGGCCCTCTTTCTCCGGCCTCGGGTGGGATTGGCACCCGTCTCGGGGGGGCTCCTCACTACCACGCAGGGAAGCCAACTCCTTCCCCGCCCGGAGCCGGGTTCCCCTAGACTCCTGCGGGCCGCCTCCTTTTTCGTCCCCCCAAGAAGCCGCGACTCTGAGGGTTCCGCTCTGCGGCGGAGGCGGGGCCGGGGGTGTGGGCGGGGCCGTGGGGGTCGTTCCAGGGCGCGGGGCGGGGCCACCTCCTTACCTGTGCCCCCCAGGGCTCCAAAGGTTCCACTCTGCCGCGGGGGCGGGGGCGGGTCCGGAGGGCGGGTTCAAAGCGCCCAGGTGGCCGCGACGGAAGGGCTTGTTTCTCTGGCCTAGGCTGTGGTTGGCAGCCGGCCGGGGAGAGAAGGGAGTCAGGGAGGCAACCTGGTTCCCGCCCGTTGCTGATTTCGCAGCTGCTCTCCCGGGCCGCCCCCTTTTCCTTCCCCCTCAGGCCACTACTTGGAGGGTTCCGCTCCGCGGCGGGGGCGGAGCCAGGGGCGGGGCTGAGCGCGGCCTGGGCGGGCTACCCGGCGGCTGGGGTGGGCGGGCGTCTTCTTCCCGCCCGAGGGACCTCCTCGCGACCGCCGGGACGTAAGAGGGGCTCGGCAGGGGCGTCCTCGCCCCACGCCCGAACCTGGTTTCCCGCTGCTCCCGCGAGCGTCGGGAGCCCAGCAGGCCTGGCCGAGGCGGGACCTTCATCGCTCCAGTCCCCGTCCCCGCCCCCGCGCCTCCCCACCGCGCGAAGCTCTGGTTGGCTTGCTTTCCGACCGGACTTAGGGGCTAGCGTTTAGAAAAGTCTCGACCTCCTCCTGCCCGGTCCCATCCCGAGAACTGTCTAAGGCTGTGAGTGTCCGGGAACCAGACCCGCTTGGAGGCCTTAGCCCCGACGTCCCGCGCCCACGCGGCAGATCGGGCACTACGGCCCGGGAGCGTCTGGGAGATGCGGAGCAGGAGCAATTCCGGGGTCCGCTTGGACGGGTACGCGCGGCTGGTGCAGCAAACCATCCTGTGTTACCAGGTAAGGAGGGACCGCCCCCACAGGGAACGCGTGGAACTGCCCTCTCGTGTCACTCATTCTCCTCCCCAGGCCTCTGGCCCTCTTGTGACCTGAGACCTTGCAATTAAGAGTTTGCTACTTGAATCTAGTCCTTGCTAGCCAGTGATTACCACCCCATTACCACGCCGTTCTCCTTAAGATTCAGGGGACCTAACTGTTGCCACGGCTACTTTTCACAGAATTCTTTGGCCATTGTTCAGGATGAGAATGAGCCTCCTCCGTGCCCGGGGTCCAAACTGCCTGTTTTTGCATTGACTGTGCTTTTTTTGGACGAGAAAATAGGTGTGTGGGGGCGGTGGGGGTGGGGCGGTTGGACAGACTACACTGAATGAGAACAGTAGACAGGAGTGAAGAAGCTCCTGAAGTTTACACAGGGCTCTGCAGTGTGGGGAGACAGCTACTGTCCCTCCCATGAGCTGCCTTGGTAGAGACCCACCTGGAAGGCCCTTTGGGGCTACTTTGGTTGCTATTTTACAGATGAGAAAATTGTGAGGCCAGAAAGGTCACTGCATGTAGCAGGTCAGACCCAAAGGCTCCCAAACTCACGGGATCCTATGACACTGCCCATGTGGTCCGAGGTATGAATATGCCTGCTATGCTTTGTATTCCTGGGCCAAAATTATATGTGGGTCCATCAGTGTAAGACCACTGAACTATTTTTATTCCTAGTGAAGACAGCAGCTATGTTTCTTGCCCTCAATCAACAGCAACTATTTATAGGGCCTTCAAAGTCAACGAAGGCAGTGGCATTCAGGGGTTAGAGGCCTGACCTGCAAGTTGGGAGCCATGGTCATTTCCAAGGCACTGACCGTTTTCCCTTCTTAGCTAATTTCTTAGCCTTGTTTCCTCAGGAAATATTTGTGGTGTATCTGTTATACGCAAGGCACTCTACAAAGTGCTGGGGTTACAAAGAATAAATGATCGTAGTGCAGTAACATTTATGCATAGAGTATAGGTCCAAAGTCCTTTATCTGTTTTCTTTGTTGTTGTTGTTTGTTTGTTTTTGAGACAGGGTCTCACTCTGTCGCCCAGGCTGGAGTGCAGTGGTGCGATCTCGGCTGACTGCAACCTCTGCCTCTCGGGTTCAAGCGACTCTCCTGCCTCAGCCTCCCGAGTAGCTGGGACTACAGGCGTGCGCCACCACGCCCAGCTAATTTTTGCATTTTTAGTAGTGACGGGGTTTCACTGTGTTGACCAGGCTGGTCTCGACCTCCTGACCTCAAGTCATCCTCTCACCACGGCCTCCCAAAAGTGCTGGGATTACAGGCATGAGCCACTGCACCTGGCCTCAGAGTCCATTATCTGAAACCCTTTGGACCAGTTGTAGTTTGCCCATCAGAAATGTTTGGCTTTTAGAAAGGTAATATGCATACAACGTACTATATATGCCATAATAACTGCAGCCAGATCTGGGCAGCACCCCTTCATCAAACAGGTTATTACTTCCACATCAGAATATGAATATTCACATAATTTCAGTAAATGCTGAAAAGAGTTTTGCATTAGTTCGGCTCATCTTTTGCCACCAAAAGAGCTTGCTGCAAACTTACGAAAACACTTTAAATTTTCAGAGCTTGAGATTGCACATGAAGGATGATGGTCTTTATTTTGGGAACTTTGAGGAAGGACCCCTCACCCAGTTTGTGGGAGCAGGAGAGGAGTCCTGGAAGAGATGATGTTCAAGTTGAGAGTGGGAGAAGTAGTAGGCAGGCACATGAAGGTCATTTTTCCCCTTCCTCCTTGGAGTATATTCTAATTACATCTATAAAGTGTTTTAAAATCCAAGTTGAAAAACCTTTCCCTTCATGACTATGATGGAGGGGGCCTTGAGGATTGCTGATGAAGCTTGGTTCTTTTGTCAGACCTGGGTTTGAATCCTCTGCTCTGCCTTGAATGACATGTGTGATCTTTCTTGATCCCTTCTGAGTCCATGTCCTCATCTGTAAAGTGAGGATAATAACACTTGCTTCCACTGAGTGTTTCTAAGGAAAAAATTAGTGCCTACTACCTTGTCTGGCGCCTACTGGGCAGCAGTAAATAATGGGTGCTCTTGGTGGTGTCATGACTTTGATAGAGGCCACATGTTTGTGCCCAGGCCTCATGGTCCTTGCAGGAGTACTCTGGCTCATGGTGCGCCCTTTCCTGAAGGTCCTGCTACAGCTCCTCATTCCTTGAGCATAAATATATCTCCCCATTGATGCCAAGAGAGCCTAAGTACAGAGATCTCATCAGTTTCCTTCCTTTGCATCAAGCAGTGGCCAAAGGCATGAAAGGTACCCTTAAGTCCTTGTTGGTAAAAGACTTACTGCAGGACCCGAGCCATCCTAATAACCCAGCTATCTGTCCAGGCTTGCCTTCCCTCAGAAGCGAAAGAATTGTCTTCTCATGAAAGCAAATCTGTGAGATTGGACTTTCCTCCCCAACATTTTAATGATTAAAAAAAAGTTGTGTGAGCCTTTAGTTGTATTTATTTTGGGGGTAGTTGGTGAGTAACCCTCATGTTTGCCCTCTTTTTCCCTTCCTGTGTCGTCAAGCTCTTCTGTCTAACCAGGATACTCCCAGCACAGTTCTGCCGGGTAAATGTCATGCATCCACAAGTGCAGAATTGCACCCATTCACCCCCACAACTAGTGTGCGCAGTTGTAGAGCCCTAACCCATTCAAGGCCTCATCACCTTCTCTGAGTAGTCTTAGGCAGGTCCCCTAACTACTCTGGAAAAATGAATGAGCACTTTTATGTTATGCATATTTTACCACAATTTAAAGAAAATGAATGAGCTGCACGAATGGTTTCTAAAGTTTATGCTGTATCTCCCCACCTTCTGTAGATATGTACAGATGTTTAGGAGGCGTTTTTTTTAGTGTCAGCTGGTAACAACTCTGAACTCTGTTTCTGATTTGCTTTTTAAATTGAGATCAATTTACATTGGTTTCATTTGTTAGAAATCATTTTGTGTTAAATATGTCAAGCTAATCAGCTAATCATCATTTGAAGGTGTGGCCTGCCCCGCCACACCTGTGGGTATTTCTCAGTGGGATGAGAGACTGAGAAAAGAAATAAGACACAGAGGCAAAGTATAGAGAAAGAACAGTGGGCCCAGGAGGCCGGCACTCAGCATACGGAGGACCTGCACCGGCACTGGTCTCTGAGTTCCCTCAGTATTTATTAATTACTAGTTTCAGTATCTCAGCAAGGGGAATGCGGCAGGAGAACAGGGTGATAGTGGGGAGAAGGTCAGCAGGAAAACATGTGAGCAAAGGAATCTGTGTCACAAATAAGTTCAGGTGAAGGTACTATGCCTGGATGTGCACGTAGGCCAGATTTATGCTTTTCTCCACCCAAACATCTCAGTGGAGTAAAGAGTAACAGCAGCATTGCCGGCAGCGTTATCTCGCCTCCCGCCACAGGGCGGTTTTTCTCCTATCTCAGAATAGAACAAATGTACAATCGGGTTTTATACCGAGGCATTCAGTTCCCGGGGCAGACAGGAGACAGAGGCCTTCCTCTATCTCAACTGCAAGAGACCTTCCTCTTTTACTAATCCTCCTCAGCACAGACCCTTCACGGGTGTCGGGCTGGGGGATGGTCAGGTCTTGCCCGTCCCACGAGGCCATATCTCAGGCTGTCTCAGTGAGGAGAAATCTTGGACAATACCCGGCTTTCCAGGGCAGAGGTCACTGCGACTTTCCACAGTGCATTGTGCCCCTGGTTTATTGAGACTGGAGAGTGGCGATGACTTTTACCAAGCATACTGGCCTGTAAACATTTTGTTAACAAGGCACATCCTGCACAGCCCTAGATCCCTTAAACCTTGATTCCATACAACACATGTTTTTGTGAGCACAAGGCTGGGGCTGAAGTTATGGATTAACAGCATCTCAAGGCAAAACAGTTGTTCAGGGTACAAATCAAAATGGAGTTTCTTATGTCTTCCTTTTCTACATAGACACAGTAACAGTCTGATCTCTCTTTTCCCTACAATCATTCTTCCGTTAGAGGCAGTAGTTGGCTCACATAATTTCAGTAAAGGCTGAAATTATTAAATTAATTAAATTATTAAATATTAAATAGTAATTATTAAATTAAATTATTAGTTAAGCTAACATCTGAATGAATTCCTTTTCCTGTATCTGTGAAAGAGAAGAACTTTTCCTATTAGTCATTTGCCAAATATACTTGCTGCTAAATATTATTTGGATCTTTAATGCAAAGAATGAAAGAGTTGTGGTTCCAAAAAGGTCCTTTTGCAGGTTTGCTTTTGTAAATATATACTCTAGGAAGTATCATTAAACATTTG